AGTTTTAGCCAAATGCATTATAATATAGTATAGATATATAAAATTTATTTTTGATAAAATTTTAAAAATACGTTAATATTATTCTAATACAATTTAAAATATCTAATTAGGTCAATCAAATACACTGAAAAATACATTTTTATTGTAGTTTTATAATTGGTTTTCAATCAAATACACTTAAAATTTATGTTTTATTATAGTTTTATAATTGATTTTCAATCAAATACGCTTAAAAATATATTTACAATCAAATATACTTAAAAAGTTAAAAATACATTTTTTTGAGAAAAAAATCGGGTTAGGCCGGGGCCGGTCCTAAGTCGGTGTTGGTCCTCCGCCTGTCCAAGGTCAGGTCATGCCCATTCGGCCATCTCTAATTCAGGCAACTAAACCTAAGGCCCAAGGTCCTATCTATGACATTTAATATGTATTTACAAAGTCCAATAACGAACCGGCCCGGCCCGATTCGGGATATTAAAACATAGATCAATGATACCTTATAAAAACCAAATTCTTGAACCAATTTCTCTCTATTTTTAAATTTATAGGAACCATAATCACATAATTCACAATGAATTAGACCAAGCAAAATTGAAAGAAAATACACCAAAATGATATTAAAATAGAGATTAATGATACCTTATAAAAACCAAACCAAACAAACTCAATAAATCTCAATTGTTTAACGGTAACATGTACGCCACAACAAAATTCACAAACGAACATCATTTGAAAGGATGGTAAATCGATCTCTATTTGGTGTCGGAGAAGAAGGAGTTGACGGCCGGCATGACCTCTGGTGGTCGTGTACGTAAGAACCTACGAAGTCCATGTTCAGCGTATTTATGTCCCTCTTCATGATTTTCGAGCACAGCCGTCGTACGATGAGACTTGTCCACCCTGTAACATCAAACAACGGAATCTTAACATTTATATACACACACACAGGAGTAATCAAATGCAAACCATCCATATTTGTACAAGTTGTGCAAACCACCTTCATCCAACGATTTCATTGTTTAATCTTATGAAATTGTTTTATATAATACTTTTTTGATGAAGTTTTTTCATATATGGTTATGAAATTGTTTCATATAATACTTATGAAATTTTAATGAAATTGTTTCATATAATACTTATGAAATTTTAATGAAATTGTTTCATGTATTTTTCTATAATTAATATAATAAAGATGATAATATACATGATTAACACCTTCCACAATAAAAATGATTAATCAACCTCTCATAATTACAAAAAAAATAAACAAAATAAAAAATTATGATTGGTTAAATGAGATTTGTACGGTTTGTACAAATAACATGGCTTGCAAAGTAAATCTCCTCTACACACACATATATATACATATATGTGTGTGTTTTCAATTGGTTTTTTAAAATATATAATATTTATATATGACAAAAATAACACACTCTTTACATTTTGTGAATCTGTATCCTTGACCTCTAAAGAGGTTGGAATCTACCGGTACCAATATCGTTGGGTCCTTGGCCCTTTGGTAGTTGCTTTTCGTTATCAAGACGTAGAGGTCACCAACGACCTCTGATACATCTGACATCAATCGAGTCTTTTAAATCAAATAGCCATGGCCCGGTACTCAACAACGACATAAATCCAATTGTTTCTTTTATCTGATTTTGATTTCTTAACGACATAAAATAACGTTACCTGACATCAGGGTTCATGAAAACATTTCTCGTAAGTTGGAAAACACACATGGTCGTCACAAACGTCATCGCGGCCATCAAAGGATAAACCTACATCATCCAAATTGCGTTTTAAAACGTACGTCTTTTAACGCAAAACTAACTCAAAAATTCGTTACGTTTAAACATATACACCAACTACCGATTCGATTATGAGTTACCTCGGGTCTCACCCAACGCGGCATCCTCGTTACTTTTCGTACACGAAAAACTTCTGAAATCTCTGTGGATCGAATGATTTGATGAACTCGAAAGCAATTTAGAAATGTGTAATGAATAGCATACAGGTATATGAGTGTATATATATACACACACATGTATATATATATATATAGAGAGAGAGAGAGAGAGAGAGAGAGATGTGTGTATGTATATGTATATGTATAGTCAACGGATTTGACTTGAAATCAGGCCAACAGATTTGGGTCGATGAAATAAATGTTTGAATGCGTATATTTATTTAAAAGTATCCTGTATTTCACCTTTTCATTATAAAAACACGTAAATTCTTATCAAATGATGTTTGGCTTAGCGCTATATGAGTCTTTTGTCTCTTAACAAATTAAAGGTTTAAACCTTACCAAAGATGAGGAGGGTGTGTGATTTTATATGTTCTATTTGTTGTTTATATATTATATACTTAAAAAAACACATAAATTATAAAATAAAAAATTAAATTGAGGTTAAAAGGAAATACAGGTTGTATTTAACGAAATGAAAACCGGGTGCTGGAGCCTCTTGATTTGGTTACGGGTCAACCCAAAGGATTGGTCAGGGTCACACGAGCAACGAGGATGTCCGCGTGAATGCCATTTTCTTGATTATCTTAATGAATTTTCCAGACCTTCTTATTTGTCTGGTTTTAGTTGGAGGGCAATTCCGTCATTTTATTTGTCTACCAAAATATTTTTAAACAGATTTTTAAAAATTAATAAATAAAATATTAATTATAGATTACGATATTAATTATATTATTAAAATATTATTTTGTATAGAAATTTTATAGGTAATTATTTTCTGGAGATTTTATTTTTCAAATTTGGATGATTACAAGTTGGAGGGTAATTACTCTTAGAAATCTTCATTTTGGAAAATCTGTTGAAGATAATTTGAAAATTTAAGTTCAAAAATCTCTTAGGAATCGTTTGGTTTGATCGAATGATTTTGAGGGATCTAAATTTCGTGGAAGGATTTGAAATTAAAGAGATTTGGATTTGAAATGATTTGGAATTGTTGCCGTAGTTGGTTTCTAGAATTTGAAATTGTTGGCGGATTTGGTTTTTAGAATTTGGAATGAAATTAAGTTTTATTTTTTAAATAATTTATAAAAACAAATCATAAATAATTATAAAATAATTAAATTACCTTTTTATTAATTAATTATGATAAAAAAAAATGTTTTCAACATATTTTAAAATATTATTACATGTAAATTTTATGAAATCATGTGAAATACCAACATCCCAACAACTCTCATTGGATTTTTAAATGAGTGTTTGGTTGGAGGTATTAAACAGTCGTTAATGTAAATGAATATAAAAGAAATTGTTTGGTTTTATATAATATAATGAATTCATTCCTACAAGCCTAAATTTTCATTTTTGTTTAAACTTTGGGAATGAAAATTCATTCTCATTTCATGTCATTTTTATTTTAATTCTCATTTTCATTCCCTTGTCTGAACCAAACGCACCTAAATCCATATTTGTGGGATTTCAATGGAATCTAGAGATTTCAAATTCAAACAGTCCTTTAAATCAAACATGAGATTTGAATGAAATTGAGATCCAAATCCCTTCAAATCTTATCCAGTCCTACAAACCAAACGAAGTTTTAGGCCCCATTTGGTTTATAAGATTGGATATGATTTGAAGGGATCTGAAATTGAATTTCATTCCAATCTTACGTTTGGATTGAATGATTTCCTGGGTTTGGAATCCTACGAAGATAGTTGGTGTTTCACAGGATTTTGTAGGATTTATATGCAATAATGTTTTAATTTATGTTAAAATATTTATTTTGTGATAATCAATTAATAGAAAGATAAAAAATTTAATAAATTACTTATAAATAAAGAAATTCAATTTCATCCAAAATCCTACTAACTAAACACAACAAAAATCTAAATTCTTCCATGAAAACCAAACGTTTCAAATTCAATTTGTCAGCCAAACGCCCCCTAATCATATCTCCATTTTAAAGATTATATTATTATACTATCCAAAACATTTAATACCTTAAAAAACTTTTAAATATTTTATTTAAATTTTGTAATTTTTGTAGATCTTTTTTCTTCAAATATAGGGAAAAAAATTATTCTCTCATTTTTTTGGCAAATATTTTACAGATTTTTTGGAAGAAAAAGAACTCTAAAATCTCTAATTTGTCTATTTTAAAACATTTTTATCAGATTCTCTAAAATAAAGAAAAGTTTTATTCTCTATTTTGCACCCCAAAAAAATTCTATATATTGTTCTTGAAAACAGAGAAAATTAAGAAAAACTTCAAATTTAAAGAATTATCTAAAACTTCATATGTGAATAGAGAAATTAGTTTATTTTATTCATTTTCACAAATTAGATTGATTTATTGGTATTTTATATAAAAAATTTTAAAAAATGTATTGAGATGATAAATTTAATGAATATTTTGATGATATAATAAATTTTAAAATCTTTAAAATAAAAAATCTGTTGAAATTAAATTTAATTATATTTAAAGATTTTAGCTTTTAATTTTTTATTTTCAAAAAATTATAGAAAATATTTTAGAAATGGTATTTGTTCAGGATGCTGTAAGATTTGCTTGTGCTATAATCTTTGTTTATTTATTTATTTTTCAATGTATTATGTACATCAAAATAATGCTCCCTTCCAAAATTATATATATTAGAAGAGTACACGTACAATACAGCGAGATACATCTCGATTTTAGTATTTTATTTTATTTTGTTTTGTTTCAGACGATGTTATAATATGGTTTTATGTGTTTTTTGAGAAAATGATAATTTTTTATTTATTTTTGAATAAGATATAAATATGAAGATATTATAAAAAATTAAAAAAAATATATTGAAATTAGTACCAAATTAATTACTTCAATTTTCTCGTTTTTATGTGTTTCTTTAACTCATTTTTTTAATTTTTGGTCTAATAATATTTTTTATAAATATAATAATTAAGTATTTTGTTATAACTCAATGGTTATCTTAATTATATTTTAAAAAAATTTATATTTAAAATTAGATGTTTATTCTCTATTATATTATGTTCATCTGAAGTTAGTTACACGAATTCAAACATGAAATTTTAGTAAGTTGTACTTACGCATAATCTACTTGTAATCTTGAGTTTTAAGTAATATGCATCCATAAATAATATTTCATGTATAAAAAATGGTTTTCAAGAGTTTTTCTCAAATTCTTTATAATATTATATAGATATATATTGTAATATAAATAATAAATAAAAGTTAAAAAAAAAAAAGCAACCAAAATTTTCATTTTACATGGTTCATTCTCTAAACTTTTTTGAAATGAAAAAACCATTAAACTTTCTTATTTTGGTCTCTTGTTTTAACGACCATTAAAAATTTATGTTAAATGAGAGAAATTTTTGTCTTTTTATTGATTTTTTTTGTATTTTATGTAATCAAAGTCGATTTTATGATTTTGGTACATGTGGTTTTTGATCGAGTATAAAACAAAACAAAAGTCAATAAAAGAACGAAAATGTCCCCCATTTAACATAATTTTTTTAACGACCGTTAAAAGGACAGACCAAATACTTGACGTTTTTGCAAACCACGATGACGATTTTTTGCCTGAACCAATTCATAACTACATTCATAATGATCATCGCGTTTGCACAATAACAACTGTACGTATAGAAATATATGCACTTCATTCGTTTTAAAATAAGTGTCTACATTAGAAATGACTATACAATAATAATTATTACATTTTATCAATTTTTAAATATTTGTGCATTAATTAATTCTGAAAAAATCATGCATTTCCGTTTGGTGCTTAAGATGGAAACGGCTTTCGCTTCGGGAATATTTTCGTTGTCAGAGGAAGATTGAAACTATCAACCACGGTTTCGTGACTTATCCGATAAGCTTTTGACTTTGGAAGGACATCTTTAACTGGTGGGGTCGGAGCTTATCGTCAACCGTCTCTTGGAGGAGCTTTTCAATTGTACGGATTCTCTTTCTATTCCTAGTTCTATCAAGGGTTTTTTTGGAAAGCATGGTTTGAAAAGCGGTCTAGTCTATTTGGTGTGATTGGTCCTGTTGGTGTCGTCTTTGTTTGGTTGGTGGTTTTTGGTTTTGGATTCTATCGTTGTTGTGATCTTTAGGGCCTTACGGGTTGTTCGGTTTTATTTTGGTGGGTGTTCTTGGTTTCGGTTTTTGACTTGGTTTCTTAGTTGTTCTACTCCTTGCAGTTTCGTCTTCTCGTTGTAATTTTGTTTGCTTTTAACAATTTTCTCGGCCTTTCAAAAAAGAATTAAAAGTAGATTTAGAATATCAGTTATCTATTATTTAAACTGAACACTTATTTTAGAACTAGAAGAGTGATCGCACAATGTAGCGAGACACATCTCGATTTTAATGTTTTATTTTATTATTTGTTTCTGTCGATGTTATAATATGATTTTATGTGTTTTCAAGAAAACATTAATGATTTCATTTTTGAATAAAATATAAATTTGAATATATCATAAAAATTTGAAAAAAATATATTAATGTTAATATCAAATCAACTATTTAAAAGTTTTCATTTTTTATAATTTAAGGGGGTGTTTGGGATTGCTTATTTAAAACAACTTATGTTTTTTTGTAAAAGTGCTTATTAACTTATGTGGTATCAAACTAAAGTTTTGTAAAAAATGTTTGGATTAGCTTACAGCGGTACCAAACTGCAATAAGCTGATAAGTTGTTTTTTAGTGTTTGGCAAATTTTGCTTACATCTGTAAAATTACCAAAAAGGACAGAGAGAAGATTGATGTTGTTATATGGAGAAGGGAGAAGATTGAGATCGATGTTATCTGGAGGAAAAAAGATAGGTATAAAGAGTAATAGGGTTAAAATGGTAAATTGGTAATAAGCAATTTTTCATAAGTCAGGACGGATTAACTTATCAAAAACTGCTTATTACCGGTTTGGCACCGGTATAAGCAGTTTTCTTTTTTCTTATCCAAACACTAGGTATTAGCTTATCACCGGTGTCAGACTGAAATAAGTCAATAAGCAGATAAAATAAGCAATCCTAAACACCCCCTAAGTTTAACAATAAAATAATTTATTTTTGGTTTAATAATATAACATTTTATATATAATAATCATTGAGTTCTTACAGATAATAATTAAGTATTCTGTTAGAACTTAATGATTATCCTAATTATATTTTAGATTTTTTATATTTAAAATGAGATGTTTATCCTATATTTGATAATGTTTATCTACAGTTAGTTACACGAATTCAGATATGGAGCTTTAATAAGTCGTATTTATGCAAAATCTACTTGTAATCTTGAATTTTAAGTAACATGCATTAATATACAATATATTATGCATAAAAAATGGTTTTTAAGAGTTTTTGTCAAATGCTTTATAATATAATATAGATAACCGTAAATAAAAATATGGACACTTATTTTGAAACAGACGGAATACAAACTCAGTATGAATTATTTCCATTCTCATTTAATATAAATGAAGAAGCATTTAAAGAGTTCTTTTTGAATATTCAACTTATATTACTTGTCAAGCACATCACGTTAAGGTTAAGACGTCGTTTTCATTCTATTTTGATACAAAACGACGACGATTCCCCCTGAAAGTAAATCATCAATAAAACCCCATTCGTGACACATGGAAAATGAAGCGATTTTTATGTGTCACATTACTGACGGAACAGATGGCCGTTGGGAATAATGGCTCCCGCCTTCTTTTTCTTTTCTTTGCTTCACCTCAAGTCTTTGCTTCAAGAAACAGAAACCCCAACAGACAATTTTTAGAATCACACAATCTCTCTCTCTCTCTCTCTCTCTCTCTCTCTCTCTCTCTCTCTCTCTCTATATATATATATATATATATATATATTATAAAACATTTAACCAAAACTCTTAAAAATCATTCTTTATTGCATGAAGTACTCTGCGTTAATGCATATCACTTAAAATTTAATATTACAAGTAAATTGTGCATAAATACAACTTATTAAAACTCAATTTTTTAATTCGTATAATTAACTACAGATAAACACCATCAAATATAGGATAAATATCTCATTTTAAATATAAAATCTAAAATATAATTAAGATAATTATTAAGTTATAACAGAATTATTATTTTTATAAAAAATTTATTGTTAAACCAAAAATAAATTAATTCACTATTTGATCTAAATTAAATTATAATAAAAAAATCGAATTAAATAAATTGTAAAAAAACGAGAATTTTTAAATAGTTAATTTGATATTAATATTGTTATATTTTTTCAAATTTATTTTTATTCAAAAGTAAAAACATTATTTTTCTCAAAACCACATAATATCAACAAAGACAAAAAAAAAACATTATAATGAAGATGTATCTCGCTGCATTGCGCGAGTATCATTCTAGTATATATACACACACACACACATATATATATATGTATATATATAGATAGATATAATCAAATAAGAACATAATATATTATATAGTGAGAATCGTAAAAACTCTTATCTTAATACTCGACATGTTTTTTAATTTAGAATTAGAATCTAAGATATTATATACATATATTTGTTTCACAGTGTGTTTGTTTTTACGTATGTTTTTATTTCACAAACAAGTAAAAAAGCTTTACATTGGAAACAAATACATGTGAAACAAACATAGTTTGAAACAAATATATGTTAATCAAGTCGAAAGATCGTGTGGGAAGGGAAGTTATGATGAGAAGTGCAAGGAGATTTGAACCCTTGATCACGTTTAATCTCATGCCCAACTATGAATTGTGCTTTTAAAAGGGAATTGATCATGTGCATCTCGATACATCTTTTTATTGTTAACATTTAATCAGGATTGATCCAATGATGGAAATCTCTTCTTACGTTTCTCATCATAACTTCTCTTCTCACTGGAATCCAACCCGTTAATTAATACCTTAAATCTCAGTCTATGATGAAAAAGTTGTGAAATAACATGTAATGCTTTGGTTCTTACATTATTAGCTCCCTGTATATGGGAATAATCAAATCAGCAATGATAACTTTTATCTTAAGGTATTGTTTTATATGATTTTCATGTGAAGTAACATATCATGCACTGGTTCACAGTAACACTTAACTCCTATTCTCACACGACACATACATATATATATATATACATATAGACATATATATATATATATATATATACATATGTGTGTGTGTGTGTATATATATATATATATATATATATATTAGCACTTAAAAAGTTCAAAATGTAACCAACCAGTAGGTTTATATATATTAGCGCTTCAAAGTTCAAAATCTAACCACCAGTAGGTAAGCCATCTTCAAGCTCTATAACACCCCCCATCCCTAACAAGAAAGCCATAAGCTTGCCATATCTCAGAAACCGAATCTGTTTCCGAGATTTCGGTTTCGAGGAAGTTTCGGAACACAAAACGTCGAGATGAGAATCTTCATCTCTGCTTGTGTCTTTCTCGCGATCTGCTCGTTATCAGGTACTACGCGTTCAAATTGATAAAACTCCAAGAACACAACTTTCTCTAACGAATTTGATCATTTTGCAGCTGCTTTCGATCCTCTAGATCCAACTGGAAACATAACGATCAAATGGGATATTATGTCGTGGACTGCCGATGGTTATGTGGTAAGAAAATCGCCATTAGTTCTTTCAAGATTTCTTCATCTTTTCTACCTTTTCTTTTTGAAGTATATAATATTTGAGGGAGGTTTTGGGGAGAACTCTAAAAAAAATGAAAAACCGAGGAACACTCTGATAACTATTTCTCTGTACGATATGCACATATGCGTACAAGTAACTGAATGCACACGTACATACAGGACAAATTACTTGTATGCACAGATGCATATTGTACAGATGAATGTTTACTGAGATGTTCCCTAGTTTTTCATTTTTTTTACAGTTTTCCCCTGAACATGACCCTATAATATTTATATACGACAAATATTGGCTTAACTCCTCATGTTTGTCGAGATTTGAACCTTGTCCTTCTGGGAGGCTGAGCTCTATCAGTAACCCAAGTACTGCTCGGCCAATGCCCAATGACCCTTTGGTGATTGTGTACAGGCAGCGGTAACATTGAACAACTTCCAGATGTACCGCCATATCCAGACCCCGGGTTGGACCCTAGGGTGGACCTGGGCTAAGAAAGAGGTCATATGGTCCATGGTTGGGGCTCAGACCACAGAACAGGGAGACTGTTCCAAGTTCAAAGCCAACATGCCTCATTGTTGCAAGAAAATCCCGACCGTCGTCGACTTGCTACCCGGTGTCCCTTATAACCAACAATTCTCAAATTGTTGCAAAGGCGGGGTTGTGGCGGCATGGGGCCAAGATCCGTCGGCTTCTGTCTCGGCCTTCCAAGTCAGCGTTGGGCTAGCCGGGACTACAAACAAGACGGTCAAACTACCGAAGAATTTTACACTTTTAGGTCCTGGACCCGGGTATACTTGTGGACCGGCAAAGATTGTTCCTTCCACTACTTTTCTCACTCCTGATCGCCGGAGAAGAACACAGGCCTTAAGTAAGTTTTCTTGGTTCCGAATAAAGTACAGTTTGACTTTGATTTTCACGGAAACAGCCGCTCAACTTTTCTTGGTAAAGGTCAGGTCTGCGTACATCTTACTCCTCCAGACCCCACCACTAGGTGGAACATACCGGGCTCATTTGGTTTGGTTTGGTTTGGTTTTTTGACTTTGACTTTGACTTTGACTCGAGATCAAAGACTAACGAGTGGCTTATGTACAATGTAGTGACATGGAACGTGACGTGCACGTATTCGCAATTTCTGGCTACGAAACACCCGAGCTGTTGTGTATCATTCTCATCGTTCTACAACGAAACTATCACCCCGTGTCCTACGTGTGCGTGTGGTTGTGAGAATAAGAACAAATGCGTCAAGTAAGATTACAATTTCTTGAACCTAGATTACAGTCTCTGTATTATATTTGTCGACTTGCACACAACTTTGCTTTGTGCACGAGCCGGAGGGTTTTCATGGAGAAGGCCTCTCGATCTTGGTGGTAGAGGGAAGGTTTGTGTACATCCTATCCCTCCCATACCCTACTTTCGGGTGGGATGAAGGAGGTTCAGGGGAAAACTCCGAAAAAATGAAAAACTAAAAAACACCCTGGTAACCATTCATTAGGACGACATGCACATGTTCATACAAGTAATTAAAGTTGTTTCTTGGTGTTCATGCAAGTGTGCATGTTATGCACATTTGCATATTGGACAAATTACTTAGAAATTACTTGTATGCACATGTACATACCGTACAAATGAATGCTTACCAGGGTGTTCCTCAGTTTTTTATTTTTTTGCAGTTTTCCTCTGAACCTGACTCCGAGTGGGATATACAGGGTTCCTTTTGGTTAATAAAATTTTGAGAACCTAACGGTTGATGATGATTATAGGAGCGACTCTAAGCTTCTAAGCGTTGTTGGGGTAAATACGCCAAAAAAGGACAATTCACCGTTACTTCAGTGCACTCGGCATATGTGTCCCGTGAGGGTTCATTGGCACGTAAAGCAAAACTACAAAGATTATTGGCGGGCAAAGGTGGCGATAACGAATTTCAACTATCGGATGAACTACACACAGTGGACTCTCGTGGTTCAACATCCTAATCTCAACAATGTTACGCAAGTTTTTAGTTTCGACTACAAGCCACTCGTTCCATACGAGTCTATAAGTAAGTGGTGCCTAAGCATTTTACTCTCCGGGTACTAATTTCATCATAAGAAAGCCAGTATTTTCTTCAATGTCGTTTAGTCATCTTAACAACGAAACCTCTAGCGGTTTTGTATCTCCAAAAGTCAACAAAATTGTTGACCGGATGAATATGTGGCATTATTTTATTGGGAACAACAAATATTTTCAGAACCATGAGAACCAATTATTCATGATAAATATACCTTATCATTCATCAAGAATAGTTGGTTCTCAAAATATTTACGATTCTCGGTGTGTGTGCTGATGTGGACATCAGACACACATGTTCGGATTCTATCAAAGTTCAACAAAAAATGATTGTAACTAGGTGCTAAGGGCATTTACGTAATTTTCCGTATGCAGATGATACGGGTATGTTCTACGGGATGAAATTCTTCAACGACCTACTAATGGAAGCAGGACCGAAAGGAAATGTGCAATCAGAGGTTCTACTACAAAAGGACCAAAACACGTTCACTTTCAAGCAAGGATGGGCGTTCCCTAGGAAAGTCTACTTCAATGGTGACGAGTGCATACTTCCACCACCGGAATCATACCCGTTCCTACCAAATTCTGCTCACAAAACCCTATTTGGTCCGTTAACATTATTGGTTTCTTTGTTTGTCTTCTTGCTCGTTTAATTTCGAACACCATTTATCTTTCACTTTGTTAGTAGTTCAAGTTTCAAAGCTAAAGAATGTAACAAGTGACAACGATTTTGTATGTTGTTAAATATACGATTTAAGGCAACATAAGTTACCAATAGACATTCCAAATGCGAGTATTTATATTACAAATAGTTAACGTAGGTTCTTACCGTTACTACAACTATAAATTAGCACTAAAGACTCGAACACTATGCAAGAGAACAGTTGTAAATAGGTGAATTCACCCACAAATCGCATGCTCGTTGAATAGGATGGAACGCGCACCTGGGACCCACGAAGCATGAAAAATCTTGAAGATTGAACGCTGTATCACACTTTCAACGAGCACTTTGAGACACACGGATGCCGATTACTTACTCAAAGATCAAGAAAACAGCCAAAGACGTCATGAAGATCGTGAGTATCGATAAATTTAGTCGATAGCCGACATTTGGGAGATACGGGTAGGCTTCTGGAGGCGGCATAACGCAATTATCGCCATTGAAATAAACTCTACGTGGAAAAGCCCAGCCCTTTTCGAAAGTAAAAGTTGTTTTATCTTTGCGGAAAAGTAATTCCGACTGAACGTTGCCCAACGGTCCAGCTTGGTTAAGGAAATCGTTGTAGAATTTAACGCCCCATAGCATAGCGGTATCATCTGCAAGAGATAATTAGCAAATTAATCACTGATTAGATGTGTTTTAAGAACTAATTAACCACCAACAAGACGATTGCTTACTTATAGAAGAGTACGGGGTGAGGGGCTTATAATTAAAGCTGAAAATTTGAGTAAGATTGTCAAAGTTCGGGTGTTGAACGACCAAGTTCCATTGCGAGTAATTCATCCTGTAGTTGAAATTTGTAATTGTGACCTTCACCCGCCAGTAATCCTTGTAGTTAAGCTTCACGTGCCAATGAACACGAATTGGGCACATATGTCGAGTGCATTGAACCAGGGGGGTTAAGCTATTTTTACCGGGACCATTAACAACCGAAGCTAGATATGGCGAGTTTGGGCTGCAAAACAGTCGGCAATTTGATGAAAAATTAGATACGACAACAAAGATTGTAAAAAGAAAAGATCTAGGAAATCCAAATACTTCCTCCGCCCAAAATAAGCGTCCACATTTATGGATGTTAATGAGTCGAGCTTTTAACGACCTACTCGAGCTCGAGCTCGTTTATCTCGAATTTGAGATTAATAATTGTCGAGCTCGAGCTAATCTCAAACAGACACTAAAACTCGTTTAACTTAATGAGTCGAGCTCCATAACACCAATGTTCAACTCCGCTTGTTCGTAAACTCGATTAAATTTTTCTAGCCGAGCCGAGCGATCGAGCATATGCTTTTTCGAGTCAAACATGTTCATGTGTTCATAAATTATATGATTGAAGTATAATATTATTGAGGTCGAGTCAATAAGCAAGCTAATTGATCTCGAGTTCGAGCCCATAGAGCTCGAACATTTAAAAGATATTCGAGCTCGAGCAGGAGCCCTACTGTGAAAAAGCTATTCAAGTTCGAGCCTGGGAAACTTTTTCGAGTTGAGCTCGTATAACCTCCAACTCACCTCGACTCAGCTTGTTAACACCCCTATCCACATTTCTATTAATTTAGTCTCAAAATAAGTGTCCACTTTCAAAAGTAAGCGTCCATTTCACAATTCTACCCTTAATTAGGAGATGAAGAAATTCATCACTCCCTCTCGAATGAAATGAAGGGTAAAATTGTCATTTAGTGAATTGAAAAGTGTAATAATTATACATTTTTAAAACCGTGTCCCTTTTTTCATCGTGGGCATTTATTTTGAGTCGGAGGAGTATGACATTAAAGATCAGAAAATGGGGAACAACCGCTCTACCCTTTGGGGGCAAAGGGCAGGTCTACGTACATCTCTTGACCCTACTTTCAAGCGGAGTATATTGGATTCAATTTGGTTTCGTAAAAACTAAAACAGAAAGAAAAGAACGTACTTTACGCAACTTCCTGGGTGTGTAGCATTGTTTTGGCATCCACAAGTGCAAGTAGGGCATGGAACGATGGTATCATTGTAGAACGATGAGAGAGACACGCAACAAGTCGGGGTTTTCTGAGCCAAAAACTGTGAATACGTACAGGTAACATTCCAAGTCACTGCCAAAACATGAATAACGGAAATTAGAAACCGTAGAAAAATATATGGAACCCCATCAAATTACTCCCAAAATAGCTTTGAGAAATTGTCCACATCTAGCTAATGTGGGACTCCAACGGAAACATCCTGAAGGGTTAAAATCGTAATTTATACGGCTACTACAAGTTTGATCAGAGAAACTCACTCATAGCTTGGGTCACTCGTCTTCCATCTGCAGTTATGAACTTTGACGGTTTACCAACTACAGCCGGTCCACAGGTGTAGCCCGGACCTGGTGCAAGCAACGTGAAGTTCTTGGGCGGTTTAACCGTTTTGTTAGTGGTTCCAGCCGCACCAACGCTAACCTGAAACGAGCTAGCGTAGTTGTTGGGTTCTTGAGCCCACGAGTTGATAACTCCGCCTTTACAGCAATTCGAGATCTGCTGATTGTAAGGAGTCCCCGGAAGTAAATCGACGATCGAAGGAGTTTTCTTGCAGCAATGTGGCGGTGAACTCTTGTATTTTGAACAATCTCCTTGTTCAGTGGCTTGACCACCCATCATGTTCCATATCACCTCTTTCTTAGCCCACGTCCAACCTAAGGTCCACCCTGGAGGTGGGATGTGACGGTATTGTTGGAAGTTGTACATAGTAACAACGGCCTACATAGATATGAAACCAATTAGAAAGTTTAACATTTTGAACATATCGATGAGAGATCTTGAACGGCCATACACTTTTTGACGATTAAGGCCATGTTTGGCGACCATAAGCTAGCTTATTTTTTGAGCTTATTGAAAAAAAAAAGTCTAGTTAGCCATAAACTAGCTTATAAGCTAGCTTTTTCAAAAGCTACTTCAAGTAGCGTTTCAATAAGCTCCATGGGATTTTTCCACTTTCTTCCAATTATGCCCCCTTATATTTTTCAACATGCCGTTTTAGGTCATATTACATCATTATCTACCTTATCAACTAGTTTTTACCAAACATGACTAGTCTATCACATAGCTTATTAACCAACAACTAGTTTTTCTGCTAACGGTTAGCTTTTCAGCCAACAACTAGCTTATTGGATAGTTTTTTTTTAATACCAAACATGACTAGTCTATCATGTAGCTTACCCGCTAAAAATTACTTATTAGCCAACAACTAGTTTTTCAGCTAACAACTAACTTTTTAGCCAACAACTAGCTTATCAGCTAGTTTGTCAAACATAGCCTAAGAAATTTAAAACGAGGGAACTTGGAGTTAATGATACTTACAACATAACCGTCCGGAGTCCAACTCATAATGTCCCACTTGATTGTGATATTTCCATTCGGGTCAAGTGCATCGTAGGCTTCTGCAAATACAAAAGAAGAGGGAATTATTGTATCATCCATCAACAGAGATACTTTAAAATGGCAAGTCCCCACATGTCTCATACGAAATAGCCTCTAAAGTCGTATAATGGCAAATAAAAAGCAAACAAAATCACCATATACTAACCCCCCCCCCTCCTCCCCCCCAAAAAAAACACCCACATCCCGAACACTATAAAACTTAAACGGTGCACCAAGGCTCTTCAACTTCAAGCCCATGGTCTTCCGCTCACCAATTGCTCCAAGGATTCCGCCTCTTCCCAAAACACATAACCAAAGCAAACGAACCCAGTATATCCCATGCAGAGGTAGGGTCAGGCAATTTACTTTCAGTTATTCACATTTGAATTTAGTAACTTGCACAACAAGTTTCCTTTCTCATCTTTAAAACACATAATTTACTTTTTGTATTTTCCATCTCCATTATTTAGATTTTAGTCCTCGCATCTTTCGTAAGAAGACATTGCCTCTACCCCAAGGGCTAGAGAGGTTGTGTGCAAACCAACATCAGGTACATAATTAACCGTAACGTGATGGCCCACATTGCCACATTGGTGTAAAAATGAAATGTAAACCCCTTACGAGTCCTCGGACATGGGCTACCAAAATCTTCCTCATATGGTCTTAGGGTTGCAACCTTACATTAACACTCCTTTTTGAAAAACAAAGATATCATGATCTTAAATAACATACACACCATTCATGGTTTCAAACGCTTCAACTCCTTTGGAAAAATATGCAATAAGTTACTTTTGCTGTAATGGTGTAGAAGAATTTGTTCTTTGAAAACCTTCATGATGAAGTCAATCTTGATTCTTGAGTGACAAGATCCCCACTTGGCAAAAGTTAGAAATTTCTTCTTTGGCCAGTAATTTCTAAAAGATTAGATATACAAATTAGGGTTCAGAATCCAATCCAGCATATATATATAGGGTTGGGTTCTGGTAAGAATGAAAGTTATGGTGAGAATGGTAAGAAGGGATCTCCACCCTTGGATCAATCCTAATTGAAACAGAACCACTAGATCAACACTAATGAGGATCCACTAGATCAATTCTCTTCTAAATCAAGGGTCCTAATCACTTCTTACATTTCTCATTAACTCCTATTCTCACACGATTGTCATATATATATATATATATATATATATATATACTTGGGATCATATGAGACCAATGGTTTTTTGTGAGACCCGTAAGACCAATTCTCAACCCTTGGATTAGATTTACAATCGTCAGATCTGAACATTTATAAACGCCACGARACTTCTCACTAATTACGAAATTGCCAYCTTGCAACTTTGCAACCATTAGATCATTAATTCATAAATTTGATCAATGAACATAAATTGGTCTTACGCGGGTCTCACGAAAAACCCTTGGTCTCACGTGAACCCAACCCTATATATATATATATATTACAGTTCACTTGGCATTTGCTGATCTTCATCCATGAAACAATTTTACATGATAAAAAAAAGCTACTGAATTCTTCTTCCAGATGAACCAATTCACTAAAAGCAACGAGAACTCAACCATTTTTGCAAAAAATAAAGAACACCTACTTAAACGTACCAATTTGTTTCATTAAATTCATAAATCATCCACCTCTCTCAAACCCATTAGTCAATTACGCCACACAATTAGATATCCCTAGGGATTAATGAATAAGCATCAAACCCTTCTCAATCTTCGTAACCGAGAAACCAATTTGATCAAAGAACCACTATCCCATTCACCAATAACTAAAATCTCCCACACCCATCAGTCAATTAAGCTCTAAAATCAGAAATCTAGACAAAAAAAGTATCATAGAAATTCAATCAAGCAAAACCAATCGATTAAACCGGCAATTAGAACCTTAAAGAACTCAATGATGAAAGCAAAAAGTAAAAATAACTACAAGTCGAAACCTGTGCGAGTGAAACTGCATGAAGAAAGAAATATCACGAGTAAAATGGTGGAAATCGACAATCGTGCGAGGGATCTGAAGCAATGATCCATTAGCTGATGCAAGGTGTGGTTGATTCGATTGATTGTTGAGGAGGGGAAGAAGAATTTTATGATGGGGGAGCGGTGGATGAACTTTTTGGCGAGTGACGAGAGCAAAACCTTGATCAAGAGTTTAAAAAAAGGAGTGGGAACATAAAAACAATAATGAAATCTTTACAACAACTGCCTGGATCAGTGCTGTACAAGATGTGTTTGTTTCCAGTTATTTGACTTTCTCTCGAACGTTCTTTTTGGGTTTTTAATGCAAACCATTGCTTTTTTATAAAAATGGAGACTGATCGAAATGGAAATTTCGCCATTTTTCAGGTTTCTTTAGATCTTTTAGGTGGTGCTTGGAATTGGTTATTGAAAATAACTTATATTTTTTTATAAAAGTACTTATCAATTTATTATAAGTCATAATGATTTAATCTATTTAAAAATCCTTTATTACTGGTTTGGTACCGGTATAAATTGTTTATCCAAACACTCAAAAGTGTTTATTACCGATGTCACACTGAAATAAGTCAATAAATTGTTTTTATAAGCAATTACAAACATTCCTTATTAGTCATTTCTCTCTTATTTTTATCAAGATATCATTACCTCAGCAAATGGTGTATGTAGTTCACAAAGGTAGCTAAAAGACAAAAAAAATATGTTATAATTTCGAGCAAGTTGCATGAAAAAGTGATAGGATGAAATTTGGTTGAATAACAAATAATATTGAGTTGGATATTATATTACTCATCACATCAGCATTGTAACCGGTTAATGTTTCAACTGTTTACCATGGTACTTAAATGTTTAAGACTTTACATCTTAGGTACTAAAATGAAAGTTTTGAAAGTTTGTTACCAGATATATGAATCAAGTTAAAGTATGTTACTTTTTCATGTCATTTGCCCTATAATTTCTACTTGGGTCTACAAGTTAAGGATGTGCCATTTGCGGAAATAGTGACATTTGGATAAAACCGGGGGATAAATGAATATAAGGGGTTGTTTGTTTACCTCTTAATGGTTTGATTAAGAGGTGAATCTTGTTTGGTAAAAAAAATATGCTTCTTAATGGTTCTAAAGCCCTCTAAATGATTTTGTATATTGAGTCTCCTTTAACCATTAAGGACCCTGATTTCATCGTAAACAATTATCAAACAGTTATATTTCATCTTGCACTATATTATGAAAATCTCTTAATCATTCTGACCACTTAATCATTTTACACCAAACCATTCAGCAACCGTCAAACAACCGCTAAAACCAATTGATGATAGAGGAATGGCCATTGCAGTCAATTTCCTGTGAAAAAAATGTATAATTACAGATTTTTTATAGGATTATAATTAAGAGGGTTTATCTGACTAAAATAGAGAAAATGAAGATTTATTCTTTATTTTTACTTTAATGGATTCATTACATTGTTATATAAAACACAGTCGCAAGGAGAAAAAAAAATCTAAGAACATCTTTAATATGAGTTTTTTATAAGCAAAAAGTATAAGAACTTCACATTATTTGAGTTCTTGTACAAAAACTTTGGTTCTTACCTTGAATTTGATGTGATTTGTACAAGATAAATGAACTGTATACCATATGAACAAAACCCGTAATTTTAAAAACACAAGATCGAGATTAGCATTTTTCAACATAATCATGGGGCCGGAGCTTCCGTCAGGGCCTACATAGGTCCGTCCCAGTTAAAAAAAATTGATAAAATAAAGTAGTTTAAATCATTTTATCAATATAACTACGATATTAAATTACAAAAAGTTATTGTTTTCATAAATAAAACAAGCATAATTTATTCCTTTATCACATAAAATTTCAACACTTTATCATTTTGATATTAAGGTAAATTGCATGAAAACTTAACGTACTTTAACTTGATTCTTATTTTGGGTAACGTATTTTCAAAACATTTATTTTGATATATAAGATGTAAAGTTTTAAACATTTATGTACTCGGGTTAACCGGTTGAAGCATTAACTGATTACCATGTTAATATGACGAGTGATGTGATATCCGATTAATGCTTCAGCAAATAATACTGAGTTGGATACCACATCACTCGTCACATCAACATGATAATTGGTTAATGCTTCAACATGTTAACCGGGTATTTAAATGTTTAAAATTTTACATTTTAGATACCAAAATTGAAGTTTTAAGAGTACGTTGCCAAAAATAAAAATCAATTTAAAGTACGCTAGTTTTTCATGCAATTTGTCCTTGATATTATTTAAAGTCATAAACTATAAATTTGGTCCCTATGGTTTGTCAAAAATAACATTTTTCGTTTCTACAGTTTTAAAATTATAAAATGGGCACTGTGATTTGTAAAATTTGAAAATTTTGGTCCCTTTCTTTAATGTTCATTAAAAAAAAATCAGATAAGAAACAGTTTGGTGAACTATCAAAATAAATGATTATATTAATAATATATGTTATAAAGCATTTGACAAAAACTCTCAAAACCATCTTTTATAAATAAAATAATGTTTATTGATGCATATTACTTAAATTTCAATATTACAAGTAAATTGTGCGTAGATACAACTTATTAAGTTCCATGTTTGAATTTATGTAATTAACTGTAGATAAATATAATTAAATACATGATAATTTTTTTATTATAAATATACAATCTAAAATGTAATTGGAATAATTATTGAATTTTAACATAATACTTAATTATTATCTTCATAAATAAATTATTTCATCATTAAACCTAAATTAAATTATAATTAAAATATTGAATTAAAGAAATTACACAAAAAATTGAGAAATTTTATATATATTTTTTAAAAAATTTATGATATCTTCAATTTATATTTTATTAAAAAAACATTATTGTTTGCTCAAAGCTACATAAATTCGTATTATAACACTGACATAAACCAAAAAATAAAAATAAAACATTAAAATCGAAATATGTCTCACTACATTGCATGAGTATCATTTTAATATTATTAATAATATAAATGTTCAACTAGTAGATTTATTTATTAAAATAAACATGTAATTTAACCATAAAAAAATGATGAATTCTTTTACGTGTTTCAAAGTTTATAAAACGTAAAATAGACTCAAAACGCATTTTTCCTCTTCCATTAATTATTTTTTATTTAATTTGTATTTGTATTTATTTATTCCAGTTGCACGACAGTACATATTGATGGAGAATATACTACTAAAAAATGGAAATTCTCTATTAATAAAAAGGAAAAAAATTGATGTCAAACCGATGACTTTTTGGTAGACTTTAATATTTGTAGCATGAAATTATACGTTAAAAATTAATGTGTCTGTGTCATAATGGTATGTAATGGGTCGTTTACCAAACGCTTACTCGGATAAGCGTTTACCAAGTCATATTACCTCATCGGATGAATATGGTAAGGACCAAGAATCTTACCCGGTAAGAGTGAGACAAGGACCAAGAGTCTTACCCAATAAGTGAGAGCGATGACTCTTACCACGGTAAGCGCTTAGCGGATAAATTGTTGCATACAATATCGTTTTGGTGGATTAAAATCTTACCCGTTAAGTAAATAATAATGTTAAATTTTACCGATAAGCACTTACCGGGTAAATGTTTGGTAAACGACCCCTAAGTTTTTGACTTCTTAAGAGATTAAAGGTTTAAATTTTATCAAAATTGAGGAGGGTGTATAAATTCATTTGTTCTATTAACTAAATATAAATATTATATATTTCAAAAAAAAAAAAAAAAAATTGGAACATGTTTTTTGTTTTTAAGCATTTTTCATGCCTAAAAAATTAATATATAAGTGAAATAGACTTATAATCATTTATAAATGTAATAAATTATGTGGTTGTTTGGCAAAATGATTAATAAACTCTAATAATAGTTCAAAATGAAATATAATTGTTTGGTAATTGTTTACAATGAAATTAGAGCGCTGAATAGTTAAGGGAGGCTCATTGTACAAAATCATTCAGATGGTTTTAGAACTATTAAGAAACGAGGTTTTTTTTTGTCAAACAGGATACGCTTCTTAAAAATTCAAAGTCTGCTTCTTAATGGAACTAGTAAGAGGTAAACAAACAACCCCACATGAACGGACTTAGGATTTTTGTCGAACGAATGCATATTTAAGATAGATCAAATTCCTGCAAAATCGTTGGATGTGTTTTTAGCTGAATTTTATTGTTTCTAGGGATTTTTAACCTTTTTAGTTGATTTTGAAAGATTTTCTTTGTTTGATTTCGAGCGGATTTTTTGGTTGTTGATTTCGAGAGGCTTTTTTTTTAGCTTTTTTGGTTGATTTTCTTTGTATTTCTAATATTCTTGAACACCCTTCAAAACTTAGCGACTGCACCTTTTGTCTCTCAAAAAAGTTCTGGTTCCGGAAATATGTTTGAGTGGGTGCACGTGACACCGCTCGGGGATTCATAGGTCCACCCCATGCGTGTATTATTTCCTATATGAAATAACATGTGTGAAAATGCAGTGTTCAACAGTGTTGTTTCATATATGAAACGTTCAGAACTGTTTTGAGTGTGGAAAAAAACAATATTGAACGTTTCACATATGAATCAACAATGTATAAGCAGTGAATTTTCACACATGTCGTTCCGTACATGAAAACTGATTCATTGGTTTGCATAAATTATTAGGTTTGTAAAAGAAGGGGGTTACAGCGTATATATATCAACGAAAAAGAACCAAAGAAAATAAAACATGAAAAGTTCAAACTTCTGCATGATACCGAAACCCACATAACAAATCAGAGACACAAAAAACGGACAGCGTCGTGACAACCCACCACGAAAGCGCAAAAGCACGAACACGGAACATGACTACCAAGAACAACCGAGCCCCAACGGAAACACCAAGTGAACCCAGTTAACGTTAACCATCAAACCTACGACCGCTACACCAATTTGATTAGTTCTTCACTTCTCAAACTCATTCCAAAACACAACGATCGATTATCATGTTTTTATGGTATAACAAACTGTTTTTTTAATATCAAGTAATACATTATTCGTTTTTACATAATATCATCGGATCATTTATCCTTAAACCAAATCACTTATAAATGAGACACAGTTATAAATGATTAGTACACTGATTTGAGTTCATCTTATACAAGTGTTATTACACTGATAAAACTTTCAAAGGGTGTTTGAAATAAACAGAAATTGAGTGTAATGAGACAGTAGTCACGTTGGAAAAACCTTCGAAGTGCATATACATAACGGTAAACGATCATTGAACTTATAGAAATGGACAAGTAATTCCTTTAACTACTAAATATTTAATTCTCGTATTCAAATGAAAACCATGGGATAACAAAAACATGTGATTGTCATTTGAATCTGGACAGTAAATAATGACTAATAAAAATGGTACACTGCTTTTACTGATCTGTTGTACTTTGCTGATAATTTATTGATACATGAAAGACATTTTTTTTTTGTTTTATACATGTAAGAATCTATTTATTATAAAAATGTTTAGGAATTTAACCGTTCAAAATATAAAAGTATATCTGTTTTTTTAAGATTTCAGTAAGTTAGTAATTTATTTATTCTATTTTTTATTAACCTGGATATCCAACCCGCTATGCGAGCCGACTAATCCCAGGGCGACCATCTGCTTTGCAGATAGTCTGGAGTCACCGCATTTGAACCTCCGTGCCCATAAGGGGATTTTTATTCTCCCTTGGATTTGAACCTGGGACCTCCAAGTACTTTTGACCTTTGAAACCAAAATCAAATCAATCAGACACCACTCTTTTGGTTAATTTATTTATTCTATTTCAATAAATTCAAGATTCATATGTTATATTTCAACACATTTAAGGACTTATTTGTCAAAAAATTATTCAAAACCTTAATCACTTAAAATATCAAAAAACCTTATGTTTTTTTTAATTATTCTTAAATTAAAATAACAGTAAATTACGTTTTTCATCCCTGTAGTTTGTTAAAAATTTACATTTTCGACTTTATATTTTTAAAATCATGACTTTCATTTCTGTTATGCAGAATTCATTGTTATTTTCATCCTTAACCTAAAAAAATGTTTGGTTAAAGGCATTAACCAATAATTAACGAAAATGGAAATAAAAGTAACTGTTTGGTTTTGTATAACATAATATATTCGTTTCCCCACATACCCAAATCTTCATTCCAGGTTAAATCGAGGAATTAAAATCCATCCCCGTTTTCATTATCTGTTGTTTTCATTTTTATTCATCAGTCTGAACCAAAAACCCATTTCATTACTTTAGTTTCCAATTCATTGACGTTTTGTCCCTCGTAAATAAAGTATGAGTTAGTTTTTGTTTGAGAGGGTTTTTCATAGATGAAATAAATTTGTTTTTTAATTGGAAGAGACAAGTTTAGAAGGAAAAAAACTTTGCTTTCGGCATAAAACTTCCTCTAAAAGTTTAATGAATAAATCACTCTCTATATGATCAAGCCACTATGAAAAAGTCATGTATAGCTGATCGAATAAGATGTGAGTCTCATTAAGTTCATTAAATTGTTAACACACCCACCCTTAGGGGTTGTTCGTTTATCTCTTAATAGTTTCATTAAGAGACAATATCTAAATCGTTAAGAGGTGAATCTTGTTTGGCAAAAAAAAAGTCTGCCTCTTAATGGTTTTAAAACCATTTGAATGATTTTGTATATTTGATCTCCCTTAACCATTAAGAGCCCTAATTTCATTGTACACAATTACCAAACAATTATATTTCATTTTGTATTATATCATAAAAAACTCTTAATCATTCTGCACCAAACCATTCAGCAATTGTCAAATAACTCCTTAGTCTCAAGAACGAAAATAACAACGAATTATGAATTATAAAGACAAAAACCACAAGTTTAAAACCAGAAGATCGAAAACCGTAACTTTTAACAAATTATAGGGACAAAAACGTAATTTACTCTTAATATCATGATACCCCTATGACTTTTAGTAACTTGGTGCACAAGGGGAACAAAGTGGACCGATACTTGGGCTCGTAGCAAATTGGAGACCATGGATCTAAACCCCATTTCCCTTTATTTGAATAGAATAAAATTGGAGCACAACCAATTGGACCGCTAAACCTAACTGTCTTGAATCAGTTGATTTTGAGTTTGGTTCTTCCCCCTTTTCGTTTTCCCATGTCCCATTAATCTGGATCCTTTTGTTTCTTCCGCAGTTTCTATTGAAATTATGAAATCCTGATCAAGCGCGGTTTGATTTGCAAGAACTCTAACACCAAAAATCTTGTTAGTAATCGGAAGAAAATGATCGTTTGGGGGTTCTGTTAGGGTTTTGTTTCGTATCTTGAATTCTTTCAATTGTAGTTTCAGTAAGGTTTGAATTAATGGAGACTGCTCGTTCCGATACGGGATCTTTCGCGCAAACGGAAATTAATTGGGACAAGTAAGCAATCCTCATTCCCTTTTTTGACTTATTTTTCTCTCAACTTGATAATCATTACTTACGAATTATGTCTATCATCAAGGTGGTATCCGTTATTTTGTTCTTTTGTCTGTTTTTGGTGGTTTTTTGTAGGGTTTTTTTCGTATCATATTGCAATTTAGGGGAATAATTTGATATTGCCCACGAATTTTGATTTCCCTCTGTTAAAAAAGAAGGTGCTGCCTGGAATTTTGTGTTCTAGCAGATTGATTTTCTAACTTCAAATTTGATTTAAGTGGGTGTTTGGATGCAACAAAGTGATTACAGAAAGGATTAAAGGAAGTGATGGTTAGTTAAATTTAACATTCATATAGATTCGTTCTGTAAACTTTTCCAAATGCCCAAAAAATGAAAAAAATTGTAACTACATTATTAGGGGCTGTTTTGGTTGGTTTTCCATTAAGTTCTATATGGACAAAGTTTTAATCTGCATGTATAGACAAGGAAGGTTTTTGTTTGGGAGAGCTTTTTCATAGATGGAAGGAGCTTGGTTTTCAATTGGGATAGGTAGGTTGGGAAAAAATTGGCTTTCTGCATAAAGCTCCCCCTAGAAGCTTACTGAATAAGTCACTTTCTATATCATTAAGTCACTACCAAACGGTCAATGTATAGCTGACCGGATAAGCTGTGAGCCCCATTAAGCTCATTAAGTTGCTAACAAACATGCTCTTGTGATAGACCAGAACTAGAGATTTGGCTACGTTTGGTACATGGGATGTAACTAGACAAAAAAAGGAACTCACTGTCCCATATTTGGTGCGACATGGGGCAGGAATAAGGACCATGACTGGGACTGGGTGGGGCAAAAACTACAAAAGTACTAATTTACCCCCATTTGATATAGCCCTAACATGTTATTTGAAAGTTACAACAACTTTGATTACGATAAGTACTCGGTTTGCAGTTGGACCATCAACCTTCTAACACCTGATTCTTTGAACAAATGTTATTGTGGCTTTTTAGCAATTGTTCATGGTTATAATTTGAGCAATCATTCCATCGCACTAAGGCCGTCTTTCTCTATCATGCTTCTACACATGGTTTATTGTTATTCTATTGTAGTTGTTTTGAACTCTAATATAGTTAACCCTGAGGGTAGCTTAACTGTTAACACCTACGGTTTGATCTCTATTGATCACCAGCTCAAGTCCCTTCAAGGCCACCGGAGGGTTTGCCCGACTGTTAACTTCAGGGCCCCATGGGATTAGGCATGGCAATGGGTGGGAATGGGGCGGGTTTTGTAATCCCCGGCACCGGCCCCGGTTTTTAGTAACAGTCCCCGGTCCCCGGTCAAACACCGGTCAAACCCTGGTCAAAGGAATTTGTATGCTTGTATGAGACAAATCTAGCACTTTAAGGACTAGCATATGCTCAAAGAAAGAGGGTGGTAGCATTGTCAAGCTACTTTTCTCCTGTAAGAACAGCTTTGCCAATTTGGGGCAAGGTGGAACTTCTGGGGTCAAGCGAGAGGTAATGGAATTGTTAAAGTGCACTTCATCCGCATCTGAATCCTACCAATTAGACTCCATTGATCTTGGTTAACCTATGGCTTCACACAAACACAATATTGTTCACTAAATGATCGAGTCAATAGCCCAAACATCTTCTCTTGTGGCTTCATATAGAATCTGCATCATCACTCAACCTCTAACAACAAGATAGTGATTACGCTTGAGCTGCTGCATGTCCAATAATACATGGATGAAGCATCTTTAAGTATTGCCCTCTTGCATTGTAGATGCATTTGGTATGTTTAACCGTTTAAGAAATCAGGAAGTTTCCTATTAGTGTCTGCACATGGCAAAGCAAATAGACCATCAGTTCATGGTTCTTGTGCATGATTGTTCAATGTATACAATAGATGCTAGATTGGATTTTGCGTCAGTCTAATATTACTCAAAGTGTTTCATCCATGTTATATGCAGACAAGGGTTGTGGACAAGATCCACTCGAGACATAGACCATATAAGCAGCTCAACTTGGGAATATCCAAAGTATTTTGGGTTATGACATGGTAGAGAATGGTGGGTTCAGTCCGTCGGCATGTGCGCATTCCATTTTCCATGTGCCATGTTAGTTCAATGACCAAGTACCAGGTACAAGGCGGGTCGGGGGGGTACAATACCTGGCCCCGGGCCCAACCCCAACCCCGGTTTGAGTCTACCGAGGATCCCCTGCCCTGGGACCCGTTTTAGCGGGGAATCTGCGTCCCCGTTCGGGTCGGGTGAGCCGGGTTCCCCATCGGGTCGGGAAAAATCACCATCCTTACATGGGATTAGTACTTGGTTGATGCAGCGAGAAACTGCGGAAGGGTCGACAAGCGGCTAAACCCTTTTAACAATCGAGAATTACAATTGTGAAACTCAAGAGAATACTCTAACAAGATGAACTTTTTAATAATTGATAATCTGAAAATTAATGAAAACAATAGACCCTATAGACTAAACTAATTAAGAGATAACTATGGAATCTAAATTCAAACTCAATCCTAATCCTAAACCAACTACGGAAGTATTTAAATAATAATAATCCTAATCTAATTTGAAGCAAATAATTAATAACTAATACAAAGAAATAATAATCTTAAATTAATTAAGAAACAGAATAATCAAATAAACAAATGAATGCAATCTGTTTGGAACTTGAAACACCATAAGTCGCATAAACGACTGTGTTCTAGCTTTTGATATGGGTATTTGGGCTTCTTTCGAGCTTGTTTCTTCTTTTCCAAGTATCAACAAAAAACCGGTTAACTCTTTGATTCTCTCTGTATCATTAATCAAGATGTGCCCAGACACCCACATTTACCAAAATCTAATATAGTCCTTCATTCTTATGCAGGCTTGATAAAACTAAGTTTTATGTCGTAGGAGCTGGGATATTCACCGGGCTTACAGTTGGACTGTACCCTATATCCGTAGTAAAGACCAGGATGCAGGTTGCTACAAGGGACTCGGTCGATAAGAGTGCATATGCAGTTGTCCGTGGATTGCTGAGAACTGAAGGCGTTCCGGGTCTATACAGAGGTTTTGGCACGGTCATCACAGKGGCAATTCCGGCAAGGATTATATTTCTCACTGCATTAGAGACCACAAAGGTGGCTGCTTTCAAGATGGTTGAACCATTCAAACTTTCGGAGCCTACAAAGGCAGCGATAGCTAATGGAATTGCAGGAATGACGGCGTCCCTTTTTTCTCAGGGGGTCTTTGTTCCTATTGACGTGGTATGCATTTATCATCCTTTTTTGAGCTTTCTTTGGTCAGTCTTGCAAGATGATTGTTAGATATTTGTGTGCGTAAGTTGTGCTGGAAGTCTGGTGGATTGACATTTGACAGACCAATAAAACTTTGTTTATAAAGGAGAATAAACTTCTGATATAGTTTTTTTTAAATGCATGACTTTCTGACATATTTTGAGGCATTCTTCTGTTTATACAAAGGCGTTCTAAAATCTTTCAGAAGGTCATGCATTAGAAAATCAATTAGAAGGTTATTCTTCTAAATAACCCAATAAAACTTATTGGTGGTTTTTTGTTCTATTCAAGATTGATAAAACTTGAAAACCTTCTACACGGCTGGGTGAGTGTCATGTTTTCTCTTCCCTCCCGCTTTAACTTCACGAAATCAAACTGTTCACAACTGAAATCTCTGTCCACACACATACAAAGCCTGCTTAACAAGATCCAGAAACCAAACCAAACTAACGAATCCCACTTGAAAGCAGGGTCTCTCGGGGGGAGGGGGTTAATCGTACTCAGACCTGTCATCTACCCCAAAGGGCACAGAGATTGTTTCAGCGAAAACCATTAGCTTGTGCAAAAGTGTGAGCAAAAAGGAAAGACGAACAAAGATTAGTAATTACTCCCCCCCTGTTCAATGAAAAAGACACGGGGCTTTAGAAATGTGTAATTATTACACTTTTTAATAAACTATATGACAATTTACCATAATAATTTTCTCCATCTCATAATTAGGGTATTATTGGAAATTAGGCACTTATTATTGAAAGTGACAAACGAAAATGTAAATGTGGCACTTGTTTTGGGACGGATAGAGTAGCAAGCACGAGAAAAATAAAATAGAAATAGGTACAATTAACACCGTATGCAGGTCATGCTTAACAAGATCCATGAATTGTCATCGGCATAGGCCGTAGGCTAATCTCCTAAATATTGAAAATCAACAGATTAGTCAAAGACTTATGGTTCAAGGATATTCAGGCCATGCAAGCTATAATGGTGGCCTGGATGTTGCTCGTCAAGTTCTGAAGCAAGATGGTATCCGAGGGCTATATAGAGGATTCGGTCTATCCGTCATGACCTATTCTCCTTCGAGTGCCGTCTGGTGGGCAAGCTATGGTTCCAGTCAACGCGTTATATGGAGGTGAGAGAGTTTTTCTTTTTTTTGAAGCATATAATACTTGTATACGGCAAATACTCACGTAAGGTGAGGTTTGAACCCTTGACCTCCAGGGAGGCTAGAATTTGCGGGTAACCCAAATACCGGCCAACGACCCTTTGGTAGTTGAGGACTGTTTGCTTTTTTCCCCGTATATGACCGGTCGGAGTTTAATTTGTTTTATGTAGTTTGTTAGGTCATGGAACTGATGGCAACGGATCTCTTCCGAGCCAAGGGACGATAGTTTTAGTTCAGGGTGCCGGAGGAATTTTTGCGGGTGCCGCAGCGTCCTGCATCACGACTCCACTGGACACTATAAAGACTCGACTACAGGTACAATCATTTACTAACGTTTTTGTCGTGCGAACATAATCTGGAAATTCTCGTCTTTTTTCCTCCTTCCTGAACTAAACCAAACCCAGTAAGCCCCAACCGGAGGTGGGGTCTGGGAGAGGTGAGATGTATGCATGCCTTACCTCTACCCCCACATAGTAGTCAGTAGAGCGGTTGCTTCTTTTAGACCCTGAGGCTTGTGCAAAGTGTGCTAAAAGAAAGGGTAAAACTTGATGAAAATTTGCAGAAAAAGATGATAAAAACTTGAAAAATAAGAAAGACGGTGCTAAAATTTGAAAAGGAGTTAGAAGTAAGCAACAACCCTCAAAACAGACAAACAACAAATAGAAACATAGAAAATACAAGAAAAAATGACCAAGGTAGGAAATAATTACACACCTCTAGTCTAACCTAGGACTCGGGGGATCTAACTGTAGATTCCCTCCTTTTCCGAAGTAAATGCAACGATATTCTTTTTGGCACGTTCAAGATGAATTGCAAAGTTTCACTTTTTGGTGAAGTTTCAAGCTCAAATTGCATACTCCCTTCTCGAAATAAGTGTCCATATTTCTATTTTAGTTTGTCCTGATATAAGTGTCCATATTTTTATTTTAGTTTGTCCCGATATAAAGTGTCCATATTTCTATTTTAGTTTGTCCCGATACAAGTGTCATACAAAGTAAATGTCTATTTTCCCATTCTACCCTTAATTATGAGATGGAGAAATTTTCTCTCTCTATTATTAAAGGTAAAATTGTCATTTAGTTAATTAAAAAATGTAATAATTATGGGTTTCTAAAACTGTGTGCCTTTTTTATTGTGGTCATTTATTTTGGGACGGAGGGAGTATTTGCTCATCAATAATCCTCACAAGATATTGGTGAGGCTTGAACTCTTGAGCTCCATGGAGTTTGGGATCTACTGGTAACTCGGGTACCGCCAGGTCAATGACCCTTTGGTGAAAGTTGAGGGTATTGATTTTGGTCCCGAAGGTTTTTTTTTACTTTATTGAAGGTATTTCAGATATTCAACAAATTTCAAATATCTTCCTAGAACGATGTGCCCGTCAAACATCGTATCATAATTTGATGATTATATAAGTTTGTGGTTCGTATTTCTTTTAGAATGGGGCTTAAGGTTGATGCTCATTGATATTTTTTGTACAAGGTAATGGGACACGAAAAACGACCCTCTACACGCCAAGTTATCAAAACGTTGATCGCAGATGATGGCTGGAAAGGCTTCTATAGAGGGATTGGTCCGAGGTTCTTTAGCATGTCAGCATGGGGAACATCCATGATACTCGCATACGAATATTTGAGTACAAATCCTTCCTTCTTCTGCTGCATTTTGGTTTCATTTTGAAGTCGTCAACATAACCATCATGATAACCGAAACTTAGATAGCATCTACCCATGTTTAGAAGTACATTCTTATAGGTTGTGTTTGGTACACATGACAGTACAAAAGGTTGTTGTCCCATATTTGGTGGACAAATAGACTGGGAAGGGACTGGACATGACTGAGTGAGACCAAAATGCAATTTTTTGTTCCACCAAAATAGGTGAAACAAAAATTAGGGAGATGGACAATCTCGGTGAATTACTAAAAATACCCATGTCAAATTAAAACTCTAAAACCTTTTCTAAAAAGTTCACCCACCTACCTAGCCCCTGCCCATCTAGTCCCGTATGGGTACCAAACACACCCTATAGAGAACATAGGAAGACTCACTTATTTACAATCATATTGTTGAGATTAAAGAATTTGGGTTCCACTTTTGGCTTGTTCCATGAAAAATTGCAACATTTTCTTAGTCATTCTAATTTTTTCATCGGATAGGAGTATGATTTAATGTAGTTACATTGATAATAGAAAGTTCATTCAGAAACCATAAATATTTTGAGAACCGTGAGGACCCAACTGATCTTGATGAATATAAATACATATACATGAATATTATTCATTATGAAAGTCATGCTTACATCCATGATATTTAGCATGATATTCATTATGATATCATGCTTATATTCATGATATTTGGCATGATATTCATTATGAATAGTTGGTTAATTATAGTTCTCAAAATATTAATGGTTCTCAAACGTATCCCTATGCCAACCTATATTGATATCATATGACCATTCATGTGTTGTTCGCTTTGCTGACATTTACTATTTGTTCATGGGTTATCTAGAGCGGATATGCGCTCAAGATTTGTAGATTACTCCACCGACTACCTGCTTCTTCCATCCCGGATTTTGGTCAGATGATGATACCGGATACTTTTGTGATTTTTACTAGTTCAAGATGCATGTATACAGAAATAGTGTCGAATGACACAAGGCAAGGCTCTCTTGGTTTACATGACGAGTAGAACTAGATTGCATAAACAAAAAACAAAATGTATGATTCATACATAATTCTTTTAACCATTTTTTACTTGCTAGAATCGATTCGATTCAATGTTATATTTTGTAATCTTTTTTTATAGAACAGAAATGACAAGGAGACATTGTTTCATGCTTTCTGGTTTCTTTTGCCATATTTATGGTGTTTTTGCCATGCTTTTCTCGTTTTGTTGACATTAATGACTTGCTTGTCTATTTCACATCCTTCATTGCCCCCTATCAAGCACCCGTAAGAACGTAAATCATTAATGGTCTTGTTGCACTTCTTTGAGTTGATGACAAATAACCCGTTAGGGACTTGCTTGGCTTGTTAGCGAGAAAAGAATGCCAATTACCGATCAAAAGATGTACTCCACTAAAATAGAGGCTAGAGGTTGTTGTTCCTCTCCTCCCCATTGGTGAGGCTCGTCAGCCACAAGCATTGAAAGTTGTAAAAAGGTAAATTCCATCAAAATATAACCAAGTTTATATTGATTATGATGAATATGACGATAATTAATGTAATAAAAGCTTATTTCAAACGATATGATATCACTTGATTTTGATGTGACATTTTTTTCCAAGTAAAAAAAAGATTTATGATATAATTCGACAACTTAATATATAAAACATCAATAGTTACAAAATTTACTCTTTGCCGATCAAAATAGGTAGAAAATAAGAAAAATATAATATTTGTTGCACTAAATATAGACAAACTTCGATACATTTTGATGCATTTTGGCATTGTAGAAATTGTGAAAACACTCTGATCAATGGAGAAAGTACAACATAAGGGACAAAAATGGACCTTATCATTGAACTAGGCATAGATTCAAAGACAAAGAGGAACTCAGTAGTATAACTTTCAACATAATGATAAAAGATGTTGCTCTACCTGACCTGATGACCATATAATGTGGGTTATCAACCAAACCAAACCAAACCAAACAAATCTAGTATACTCTACCCAGAGGTGGAATGTCCGCGGACCTAATCTCATAGCAGCTGTTTCCGTAGAATATGGCCATTCTTAACCCTAATTTGAACATATTAGAAACATTCTCAGTTGACTACTTGGGTCTCATGGTCACTACCATCCTCCTCTTCATCGTCTCTCGTTGTGTCTGCGAAGGCTTCGAGTGATTCGGCTTTGAACAAGTCACCGGCCTTTTTGGGATTATCAGTTGGGTCTTGTTCTTTTGTTTGAGATTTTCCTTTGTTCATCTGTAGCATGGCCATGAGAATGACCATAAAGAAAAATCATTAACGGCATGGAAAGATTAAAATCAAACCAAATTGACACATAAATCACACTCTGATTTGGTTAAATGGCCTTCTATTTAACCCTTCTGACAAGTTTGAGAATGTCACTTCCATATACAAGAATGCATAGAAACTTGTCAGATGGTCATGGATTTAAATAAAAAGCACCTGTCCGGAGACCATTTAGCTAAATAATGCAAAGTAGGGTGGGGCCGTGGGGGTGAGATAACCGTAGCTGAGATTTTAATTTAATTCATTACGCTTTGACGAGTATGAAGCCATTTTTTATTTAATAGGCTAAGAGGTCATGAATTTAATTAAAATCTCATTTAAGGTTATACAACTAAATAACCCAAGATATATGCAGACCTGCCCTCTACACTAAAAAGCAAAGTGATTCATTCTGTAAAGACCTCCAGCTTGTGCTTCTGGTCCACAAGATACCAAATTCCTCTATTTTATCACTATTGAAATCAATTTTCGATATTCGATAACTTTCAACATAAACTATTTTACCAAAGTAACCCCTAATATATTATCTTGCATTCCTTTGCAGCTTCATTTCCTCCATGTTCTAATTTACTTAAATTCAGTTAAAACCTGACATTTGTCCCAATGAGTAAAGTGGCTGTTTCCCTAAAGACTCCCGGCTTGTGAAAAATTGCTAAAATCAGTTTATTAGTCTCTTAGAATTAGTCTCAAACGATGAAAGTAATCAAGACTTGGCTAATAAAAATCCAGAATAAAAGATGTATGTCTAATTGGATTAAATTGAGTTGTCATTTGCACTTCCTAGCGAGAAATATAATTTATTGCAGTAAAGGAAACTGGAAACTGGAAACTTACGGCACGAAGCAAGGATCTCTTCTCTCTCTCTCGAGCATTACTAATGGCCTGAAACAAAACCCAGATTTTATCAACTTCAAAAGCAACACCAGAGATGACCAACACAAATGTAAACAAGAAGTGAAAGTAAACACAAACCGCTTGAAGCATCTTCTGCTCAGCCTCTACTTCAGTAGCATCTCTGCATGCAAGTACATCCATATTATTCATCATTGATACACTCCAGTAACTATTTAACAAATTTCATTGATGATACTCTTTCAAATATCAACATATGTGTTCATCATCATTATGACTAGTGCCAACATTAATCTTGAAAATAAGCACTGAAGCTTTAGAATAGAACCAAACCAAACCAGACCAAAAGAGCCGGGTACATCCCACCTGGAGGTGGGGTCCCTGAGAAAGATATATTCATATCTGTATATTAACATTCAGCAGTAGCATCTTGGATTTGTTAATTATGTCATGAACGGAGTTAAACTCATGGCAATTTTAAGATTGAAACCAGTTCTATTTCAAATTTGATTAGAATAGAAGAAGTTCCAGAGTTGCAAAAAAAGCTTTAAGCTCATATTGGTCATGGTCATGGTCATGGTCAATAATTTACCAAACTTGTCATTCTCCATCGTTTTTGTTCCACCTATTTTTGGTTTTGGTGTATCCAGTGATTTTGAAGGTAACTTATGGTAGTTTGCCATATGATTTACCCTATCTAGACGACATAACGCCAATCTGAACCCTTTCCATCCTATATATCGCTAGAAAACGAAAAATTCTGATACCTTCCAACAATTCGTTCAACACGGCACGAACATTTAGCACATACGTTATGCTCTCTGGCACAAGCTGCATTTTATCGTACAGCTATTAGATAAAAGAAACAGAAACATAAACAAATTGAAGAAAAAAAATTGCACAAAAACTTGTTAATTATCAAACCCCTAACCGTTGCACAGATTATGGTAGGCCTGACGAACAGCACGTTTCGTACATTTCTGACTGTCACAAAATCGTTGAAACAAGTTATTATCACTGAAATCCACATCAAGAATTCGGCGTAAGTTAGAGTAAAGCAGATAGTATTACCATTTGGCGGGTTCTGATAGGGGTTTGTATTTGCCGTATTTGCGTTTCCATTCAATCTGATCTCTACACTTAGGGCACACTCCGGTGATCTCCGACAACGGCCGGAACCTTCCTCCGACTTCAGTTTCGTTGATTTTGACGCCGGCGTTGGGTTTCCAGGCGTATTTGTTTGCGTGTTTCGGCGGACCAACACGCGGCCTGCTACTCATATTGCCTTCGGGCACAACATTGAAACGCATAGCGTTCTTAAACCTAGAAGAAAATCTTACTTTTACCCCTTGACCCCTTAACTATTGTTTTTGTGCAATTTTGGTACCTCAACTATGAAGTCTTGAGTTGGGTGGTTCATAGGCCCAACTCGTTTACCTGCTAAAGAACGGACTTGTACAACCATTATTGAACAATGCAATGCAAACGACACTCGGGTAGGCCCACCCAGCCCGTGTGTATTTTTATAATTAATGTAATATTATATTTAATATTTTTATAAAAATCATGACGGTGTTGCTTTCAATCTGGATAACTACATCGATGTCATTTTGATGGTAACACGACTATATCGCACATCTTGTTTCTACGAGTTTTGTGTTGGTTCACATATATTTTAGATTCATCTTATTTCCATAGCTTGTAGAACTGTTCATGGGTGGTACGGCTTATCAGAAAAGCAGAATTGGACAAGCCATTTTAAGAAATATGGACGGACTCGGGTGGAACAATTCAAAATAATGGGTGGGCTTGGTCAATAAAAAAGAAACTTGGACAGACCCGCTCGGCCCAGTATATAATTTATAATCAATTAATTTTTTTATATAATTAATGTTTTGTTAAAGAAAAAGTTTAGAATATAAGTTTTTTAAATATAATTTTTAGGCCCATTAGCCCATTTGCAAGCCCGACTTGTTATTGGGACGGTATAGGGAAGTTCTCATGCTTGTAGAAACGGGATTAAATAAAAATTCGGGTATATCATTGCCACCTATTTCACTAAAAAACTCATATCAATGGCAGAAGGATGATTGCAGTTGCTAACGAGACACACACACACACATGAGTTTGAGCTTGCTGCTCTCCGTCATTGATGTCGACGGCCAAGGTCGATTCCGGCAAATTCTTCAGGCGAACCTTGTCTCCCAAAGGTACGCAAGTCGCAAGTGATTCATCCTCTTTTTGAGCATTTTTTCATTCAATGATATAGTTATGAATTTTGGTCAAATTGGTGCATCATAATAGTTTTAATGATGTTAATCTTACATGTTTTTTGTGTTGCTTGCGTGTTGTTGTCTTACTCTATTGCTGATGTGATTTGATATGATAATCAATTTTATGCTTCTTGCATGTATTGGAGGTATTTTAGGGGTAAAATTCGTTTGCACCGTAGGTGTTTGATGTTTTGTGTCACGGAGTTTTGCGTATAGGATCTCGCAGATGAGTTACGATTGACACCGTTGCCTTTTGTTTTCTGTTTTTTTACTTCTGATTATCCCAAAGCAAAGTAGTATGATAGTGTCCGATATTAGTCATTGGTGGTTAATCTACTTGTTATATGTTACTCTTTTGTTGATGAATTCGTCCAGATAATCAATTTTAGGCTTCTTGCATGTATTGGAGGCACTTTAGGGGTATATTGCTTATGCACTGTAGGTGTTTGATGTTTTGTGTCACATAATTGTTGCGTATAGGATCTCACAGATGAGTTACGATTGTCACAGATAAATTTGTCCAATATCTGTGTGTGTTTTTATGCATTTTTGCCAAATTCAAAGGCTAGAGTTTGGGGCCGTTTACCCAAACACTTGCCCGGTAAGCGTTTACCGGTAAAAATTAAGATTCAACACTATCACTTACTTTACTCGGTAAGATTTTAGTTTATTAAAACGACATTGTATGCAACAATATACCTGGGAATCCATACATCCCTTATCAGTGTATGGACAGCTATCTCTCGAGCACATGGTTAGGTTCGCCTCAATGGGAAAAAAAAATGGAGTGCTAACCGGGTTAGAGTCGTCACCTCACTTACCGGGTAAGACTCTCGGTCATTGTCATCGCTCTTACCGGGTAAGGTTCTCGGTCGTTGTAATGTTCATCTGGTAAGAAACGTGACCTGATAAGCACTTCCCAGACAAGCGTTTAGCCCCTTAGGCTGGAGGGCAGAGGGGGGTAAGAATAGGCTGAATATCTATTCGACACTACTGGCTCTTGTGATGCAGATTTGGAGACTATGGATCATTTACCAAACGCTTACCGACAAGAGACATCATCCTTACTTGCTTTATCGTGAAACATTCTCAGCCATCAAAATGTTTTGTTGGTAAACATCTTAAACCCAGTAAAAGCTTACCGGGTAACAGTCTTTTCCCTCACTCATCAAGTAAGACTCTCGTTCCTTGCCATGCCTCTTAGTGGGTAAGATTATCGGTCCTTACGATGCTCAATCGGTAAGGTAAGTGATGTCAGTAAGCGTTTCAGCCTCAAAAGTGTACTGTAGTAAGATGGATGGGGATTGTAGTTGTTGGTTTGATATCTCGTTGGTTCGAAAGACAGTATTATTCCTCTACAAATCAAAAATTTCAAATTGCTGTCCATGAGTTACATGTTTGGAAACAAAACTACATTTAAGTCCAATTTAGAGAATGTTTAAACCAACCATAGGTGATGATCGAACAACACTATCTAAACGAAAAGAATGGCCTAATACACTAACAAACTGCTCGTTATCTATCGGGAAAAGCTCTTGAAAGTTACAGGTTTAAATCTCAATTAAAAGAATGCTCTAGTACACTAACGAATACAAAAAGAACAGGTTTCTTGTTGATTGTATTCGAAAGCTCAAAACTAGCGAAGATATCTAGTAAAACCAGGGATTAGAAGGATGGTCTAGACTATGATCAATGCCATTTTGTTGACCCAACGATCCACTCGAGGCCAACATTGTTTCGGCTACTGTAACATTAGCATCAAGAAAAGCAATCTCCGCTTGAGCTTTCGCTAGTTGGCTTTGTGCTATATGTATTTGTTGATGCAACAACGATATTATTCCAACACACCCGTACACGGGATCTCGTATTCTACACTTGGCCTCGTAATACAATGACTCTACTGCATCCGCCCGTAGTTGTACAGGCAGTTCCTACATAAAATTACGACAATCGACAAAAAAAATAGCGATCGTGTTAAAAAACAAGCATTTTTCTCGATCTAAAGACCATCAAAATTTCGATGTATGAACAAGATTACGTTCAAGATTTACCTCGATCAACTTGCCGATGTTGCTGGCGCCATAGATTCTATGAACGCAAGTGAATTTTTGAGGGTTATTAGCCGGGAAATAAGGCGCAAAAACGCAATCTGAAGGACATCTTCGTCTGAAATACTTGCAAACAGCACATCGAGTTGAAGTCATGTGATCAATGCTATGAGATATATTCAAAGATTTTGGAGAAATCTTCAAGAAATCTAATGGAAGATTTGGTTTTGATCTTTTAAGTGTTGGGGATTTGAGAATTTGTATCAAGATTGAGGGATTTATAACGGTTAATTTTTTTAAATTTTGGTGTGGTAAGGAAAGTATTTAATGGAAATCAACTTGGTAAGAATTTAGTAACCGTTAAAAATCAAATTTACAGGTTTCCTTAATTACACCAAATTATTCAAAAAGTTAACCGTAGATTATTTTGAGGGTACAAATTCAGAGTGGTCATGTCCGTCACGTATGGTGGTTGTGGAGGATGAACCGCCAGTTGAGGAGGAAGTTATCGGTGGCTTTGTGAGGTTGGACGGCGGCGGCGGACTGCTGGTGGTGGTGGTGGTGATGAGGAGGAGGAGCAAAAGAAGAAAGTGGTCAAAGTCAAAGTGAACATAAGTCATCGTGAACATGATTAAAAATCCCATGTTCACATTTCTCATTTTCTCCTCTTTATTCTACCAATCATAAGACAAATAGTTATTTCTATATTTTATTTTTGGTGATGTATTTTTATGCTATTGGTGGTTGGGAAGGGACATTAGTGTCATTTGAGTTCTCTTTCTCAGAGCAAAATGGTTTTCAAGATGATCATTTTGGTACAAAATAGTAAGTAGCAGTTTATTACGGGTAAAAGTATCATCCTTACTTACCTTATCAATCATCAAAATGAATTGTTAGCAAGTGTTTTTTACCTGGTAAACGTTTACTCCTTACGTACCAGGTAAGATTCTCGGTTTTTGTTACCCCTCTTACCAGATAAGATTATCAGTTATTGTCGTCCGGCAAGATGAACGCTTACCTGATGAGTATGTATCTCAAGAACCGAAAGGAAACAAAAAGACCGAGGGGTTGTTTGTTTGTTTTAGAAAACAACTAGATTAAGTCGTGTGGGTAGAAAACATTTATGGAAGTTACATCTGCTAATTCTGGAGTTCTTTTTGTTCCCTTTTGGGCTTATTAGTCCCAATATACAACTTTCTATAGCATAAAATACAAGTAATTTTAACATTTATTTTTATTATTATATTATTCCTAAAAGACAATTATAAGTCAGATAGGTAAAAAAAGACCATCACAAGAACATCAATGAAAACAATACTAATCCACAAGAAATTAAAGAGTTCAACAAGGATTCAAACAACAAACAAGAACCAAACCCCCTCCAGATCACCTGCAATAGTCGTATGTTCTGCATGGCCTACCTCTGACATTATATTTTCCGGCACAATTACCGCCGCAATATGTATAACCACGTTGTAAAGCACTATAGTCAATTCTACGCGTTGTCGCTAGAATCCGCCTATGTTCTTCTGTATCCATTAGAAACTCTTGAGCTTCTTCCTCGAATACCCGACACTCCACCAAGCTACTTCCATTGCAAGCCGCTGTTGACGACCCCCGTAATCCGTCACAGTCGGTGACCATCGTCATCATCAAGACGACGGATAGCGATAAGACGACAATCATAAAACAGATCGAGCTTCTTTCATTGAACATCTTGGTATTCTTGAGAAGGATGGGGGTTGGAATTTTTGGTTGTTTTTTCTTAATAATGGGGATTTTTGGCAAGGGGGGGTTGGAATATTTGGTTGTTTTTTCTTAATAATGGGGAGTTTTGGCAAGGGGGGGTTGGTGCGCCGGAAAATGACAAGTTGACAACCTGCGGGCCTTCTAATTAATGGTGGTGGTCAGTGTCATGGATTCAATAATTGAGGGTTGTCTTATTACATCCAGCCTCTGTCCAACTAGATTAGGGGCTGAATCGGAAATGTTACTTAATAAGGTAAGTGAAAATGGCGATTTTTATTGATAAGTGATTACTTGGTAAGCGTTTGGTAGATGACCCCTAATCCTCGTTCCCCTCCTTACATGTTCTCCTTTCTCCAACCTCCTTTCCCCTTTGGCAACACCACTCCACCGACGACCCTCCGTCTCCTACTAAATACCGACGCCTGAACACCATCATCCGACCACCGGTGCTCCGATGACAGAGGACCATCCTGCATCAACTCGCCCCTCACAAACCCAGATTCAAATCCTAGATCTCATCTTCCCGTCTCTCTCGTTCAAACATCGATGAACAGAAAAATCACAAGCATCATGTTCAACCACCATTCCATTGATGAACAACTACTGGACTCATTCAACCATCCAAATTCGAACCCTGTAACCCCTTTCTCGTTCAACCATTGATGAACAACTACTGGATTCGGTTTCTACACGTGGAGATTCAACAACCTCATCACCAATTGCACCAATCGCTCAATCAAAGGCTTTTGGTTTACGGATTGAGTTAAGCCTCAATTTTCTAATTTCCTCTTTGATTTCTTCGTGAACTTTGATTCTACCCTAATGGGTTATGATTGTTAATTGATTTCTATTGATTATACGCTGGCGATGGTTTACAAAGAATATGGTTACGATTGTGCAGCAAATGGGTTATTGATTATACGTGGACGATGGTATTTCATGGTTGAGGGTGGGCTAACATAACCACGATGAAGGCAAGCTCTGATACCATGTGAATAATATTCACCTCTTGAGTCACTTAATGTATTATCGGACAAAGGATCGTGTGAGATAGAGAGTTAAAATGAGAAGCGTAAGAAGAGATTTGGACCCTTGATCACCTTTAATCTCAAACCCACCCATGAATTACGCTTGATACGGGGATTGATCCGTTGCATCTCATCATAATATACATGTAAATGTAGAGGTCTTTTTTTACGCTTCTCATCTTAACTCTCCTTCTTATCATAACCCAACCTTGTATCATACACATGTATAAACAGGCTTAGAACAAGGATACAAAGGTAAATATGCATCCCATATTGAATACAAATTTATTTACTAACAGCCAGGACCCTCGACTGTATGCATCTAATAATGAATTTTTTATTTTATTTTAAAGGACAATAACAGAAAATTGAAAAAATAATACTAAAATACCCTTTACTTAACGGATGGAACTTAACTGTCGTTAGTGTAATGGGACCGAGATTGGCTTAAATGACCATATTCCACAATCAAATTAACCTCCTAACTATTTCTCTCGAGTATTTTTCCAAAAGTCACTAGGTACGCAATACCCAAATCCGCAATTATTACGGACCCACTAAATGACAAAAAAATCAACTTTTTGGGCTAGGTCCGTAACCACTGGTCCGCAACTATCACGGATCTGGCCCAAAACCCATTTTCATATGAAGGTAGACACTTAAGGTCTAACATTACGGATTCAAGGAAAATGTAAGTAATAGTTACGGACCTAGCCAAAAACTCTAAAACTTTGTCGTTTAGTGGGTCAACAATACTAGTGACTTTTGGACAAAGTCCGAAGAAAAATAGTTAGGAGGTCAATATGATTGTAAAATATGGTCATTTGGGCCAATTTCCCAAATATAAATCATACAACAAGAGAGAATTTGCAATAAGAAGTTAGTATGAAACTAATCCAAGAAAGTCTGGTAACCCTGTATTTATATAGTCTATACTATTTTATTAATCAAATTTGGTAAATGTCTTAAAAGTCTTAAAAATGTACAAAATCTAAAACACAAAGTACAAGCTCAATTACTTTTAGTCTATGTTGAGCTCCCAAGACCGACTTTCCCTGCAGAATTGATCTCCCCAACATGATTTTCCCTCCTCAAATTGAGCTCCCCAAGACGACGATTCAAGCTTCCAAGATGACGATTCATCGCTCCTCTACTCGAATCATCAATATATCAACCAGTGTTTCATCGTCATCTTCTTCAACTTTCAAAACAATATGGTTCTATTAATTATGGTTTGGAGAAACCCCCACTAAACCACTTTTTGAAAGGAGTGTTCCTCTTTTCCCCTTAATGACTTTTTGAAAAGAGAGTTCCTCTTTCCATGGTACGAAATGAATGTCATTGGATGATTGAGTTGCGCACCTGTAAATCTGCAAATGGGTTGGACTTTTCTTTTTGGGGGGCAGGGGAATGCCTTTTCCATGAATGACCGAGAACTCATGAAAATTTTGTTACATCTCAAATCCTTTTTTGTCCGTTTTCTTTCTTTCTGTTATGTTGACGTTGTTTTCTAAAATTTTAAGAGGGTTGGGTTGTTTTCTTTCTTTCTGTTATGTTGACGTTGTTTTCTAAAATTTTAAGAGGGTTGGGTTGTTTTCTTTCTTTCTGTTATGTTGACGTTGTTTTCTAAAATTTAAGAGGGTTGGGTTGCATTCAGATATAATGGGTGTTACTGCTTACTGTATGAAATGGAAAGTGTTGGAGAAGTAGAAAATATTGCATTCCTCTTATCTTGATTTTCTTTTTTGTATCCAACGCCTTTGACCCAAATGGTCCACATGGGTCACACAAAGTGCCACTCCACAATTTTTTTTTTGATTAATCTGGATATCTAACCCACTATGCGAACCGACTAATTCCAGTGGACCACCTGCTTTACAGAAATTTAGGCCTTACATCCAATGGAAATGGCCCTCAAAGCAACTCATGCACCTGAAATCCAATTCGATACCTCATGAGAGAGGAAGTGGATATTGGCAGCTTCTTTTAAGAGGGACTTCATAAAAGGTTTTACTCAGATAGCAAGGATAACATCACTCAACACTTGGTTCAATTATCGTTGTGGTTGGTTGATGGTATGTGCAAAAGCAGATATCTGGTTGCAAATCAACATTGGAGTGTGACAACAGAACACCATCAAATGATGGAAAACAAGATAAGTAATTGGAACATGGATGCTGAGCAAGGAATGGAAATAGCAGCGGTAAACAAAGTGGATTCCCAGCAGCTTGCCCAAAACAAATGTAACGCAATGTTACGTTACAAGGAGAAGAAGAAACGCAAAGCTATACATACAAACTATCCGTAATGATGATGAATATATAGATATAGTTTTGGTTTCAAATAACCTTGCAAGGAATGGTACAGGTACGGGAAATTCTATTCACAATAAAATTTGACATCCCGCCGCATTGCGCGGGCACACAATTAGTATATTATAAATACTATATAAATATACTTATTTATCTAATTATATTTTGAAAATTATAAAAATCTTAGTCAGTCGTGTTTCTTTTTCTAATTTCTAAGCATACTGTTGATTTTTTAATCTTCTAAATCGATTGAATTCATCGTCAAAATCAATTGCATATATATTTTTTGTAGTATAACTAAACCTAAACCGGACCGATCTCAACCTGAAACCGGACCAACCCGAACCCGAAGCAATCCTGAACCCAAAAATTAGGGCTTGATTTTCATATCCGACATCCATTCGAGTTTTTGATTTTCCCACTCGAACCTGCCCGCCCCGCCTTGCCCGATGCACGCCCCTAGTAGATAATATATAACCGAGCCATTAACAAAGTAGTTTTTCCTAAATTAATGTCACAACTTTTTTTAGACCAAAATATAAAATTTCTTAAAACTCTTTCAATTTCATAAAATTAGCGATAAAACGTGTTTAAATATTAGTTAGTTATCGTGATAACAAAATAGTCTACTATTACGACCTCTAGCAAAGGGACAAATTGACTTTATCCAAATACAAGATAAGTTTTGAGTTGGATCTCCACTGAGTGAGTCGAAACATGCCCCCGGTGTTTTTGGAGAACAGTTTCGGGTTTGGGGCACTAATCAATTTTTTGACAAAATAGACCATTATTAAATTTTATTGTTAAAATTTAAATAAATTATATTTTCACCTTAAATTTAAAGCATACAAAATTTAAATTAAGAACGTGTTCTCCAATTTGGGGATTAAAGAAAAAAAATGAAGGGAAAAGAAAAGAAAAGAAATAAAAATAGTTTTCTTTTTTTATTTGTGTAAATAAATTTTCATTTTCTTGAACATTATCCATTTTATAAATATATCTTTCAAAAATGTGTTCTTTATTATGAAAACTTGAGTAGTTTTGGAATTTTTATAATCTTTTTAAATGATTTTAATTTTTTTTCCTCCCATGTCGGGAAGGAAAGTTTTTTTCTTTCTTAAAAAAATAGGTTTTGAGAAGCAGGGACGGACCCAATTTTTTTTTCAAACGGTGACATCATTTGACTATAAGAAAAAACTATAGAATAAAGTTTCAAACGGTGACACCGTTTGACTATAATAAACAAATATACGAATTTTTTTTCAATCGGTGACACAATTTGACCAAGAAATGACACTAACACGATTCGAGCTTAGGTCTAGGGTGGAATAGAAGTCTTACAGATCGACTATATCAAATAAAACTTGTTCTCATTGTACTTTTAAAATACATACTTTTTAAAATACATACGATAACGCACAACAGATTAATACGGTTGTACGTTTCACGAACCTAATTTTTTTATCATTCTACGGATGAACAATACGATGCCACGTATCACCCTAGCCACACAAAAGTAGGTTTGTATGACTAGAAAACACATAAATAAATGAATTCAAGTCGAGTTCTTATAAATTCAAGCTCGTTTTTGTTTTACGTTTTGATCTCAATATTACATTGGAATTGGATAAAAATGGGTATGAGGATACCGCTGATTGGAAATGTTCACTTCGCCGCTGCTCTGAGTCATTGATGTCGACGGCCAAGGTCGATTACCGGCAAATTCCTCAGGCGAGCCTTTTCTCCCAAAGGTACGCAAATGATTCATCCTGCTTTTAAACATTTTGTTATTGAATTATATCACTATGAATTTTGGTAAAATCAACGCATCACAATAGCTTTAATGATGATAATCCTATGGGTTTTATGTGTTATTTGCGTGTTCTTATGTTACTATTTTGTTTATGTTCGTTATGATGATCAATTTTCTGCTTCTTGCATGTATTGGAGGTACTTTAGGGAATTTAGGGGGTGTAGTGCGTATGCATTGTAGGTGTTTGATGTCTTGTGTAATCTGAGTTGTTGCGTATAGATGAGTTCTGATTGTCACAGATGCTTTTATTTTTACTTCTGATGATCCCAAAGCAAAGTAGTATCCGATGTCAGGGATTAATTTTTCCAATATCTGCGTGTTTAATGCATTTTTGCTGGAATTTGTTGTTTGCCAAACTCAATGGTTAATTAGTCTATTGAATATGTAGTCTGGTGACTAGAGGAATAGCTATTGGACACTGGCTTCTGTAATGCAGATTTGGATACTGAACTGTACTTGTAGTAAGGTGGACTGGGTAGGTTTGATATCTAGTTGGTCTGGGAAGCAACATTATTCCTAAACAAATCGAAAATTTCATTTTGTTGTCTATGAGTTACATATTTGGAAGTAAAACTACATCTAGGTCCATTTTTTGCAGAGAATGTCCAAGCCAAACATAGGTGATGATCGAATCAAACTATCCAAATGAAATACACTTTTGAGTACCAATTCATTTTCAAAACATCATGGTTCTTGTCTTTCTTGGCTCTGGTAGAATATTAGTCGTCCAACAGGGATTACCTAGTCAGTCTCCTTCGGTAGTATACTTTGTAGTCAGTAGAGTTGTGTGTGTGTGTGCACCATAGGTGTTTGATGGTTTGTGTCACATAATTGTTGCATATAGGTCTAGTAGATGAGTTATAAGTAGGTGTATTTCGTTGAATAAAGTTTTAATCTTGAGTAAAAATTTCATCCCAACAAAGTTCATAGGCCCATAGCATGATCATACATTCCTTCTATCCTATTCGACCTCAATTCGTAAATGAAAAATTAGATAACTTATCAAAATTAAAATCCATAGGATACACACTTGACTTACAACTAGTAATCTTAGAAGAAAATACCTTACCACCCATGGCCTTCCCCACATATCTCTTATCAGAGATTGCACATCGTGGCTATATACATCCGACTCAGCTTCCTGTTGGCTCCACCATCTCGGTGAAAACTGTTTCTGATTCCTTGATGCTATCAATCACGATGTGCCATGTCTTAATGCCACTCCAGTTGATCCCATTAGCATAGATTCGTCACCTGTGGTTGGCTCTCCTATCATGAGAAACGGAAATTCTTGATTCTCTAACATGGCCTCACCAAGCGAGCTGTCTGTTTTCTCAGCTGCTTCTTGTAGCTGCAATGCAAACTCTAGTCCCCCAACTACATCCTCCATAACTGGACGTTCGCTTCCTTTATCTTGCAGGCAACTATGTGCTACCCCTCCGAATTTCCTTAAGCACTTGGGTGCAATCTCACCACTTACTTTTGGATCAATAATTTTATGCAAGGTCCCCGTTCGATAACTAGACTTTCCCCATTCTGCCAAATTCACTTGTTCGTCAGGCAGCTTCCGACTGATAACAGGTCTTGCACACAACACTTCAAGCAACACGACCCCGAAGGAGTACACGTCAGATTTGTCCGTGAGTTGTTCTGTTCGGTAATATTCAGGATCCAAATACCCGATAGTACCCTTCACCATCGTGGGAACGTAGTTTTGTGCTTGGTCTCTGGGGCCTAGCTTTGACAAACCGAAATCAGACACCTTAGCGACCCAATTTTCGTCGAGTAGGATATTTGTGGACTTGATATCCCGATGAATTATTGCACGGTTTGCACCCGTGTGGAGATAATGTAACCCTTTGGCTGCACCAAGGCAAATATGCAGACGTTTTTTCCATGACAAATGAGGGTTGTTCGTGTTATATAGATGTTCCCTTAGAGTACCGTGAGTCATGTAGTCATACATCAGTATCATCTCTCCATCCTCGTCACAGTATCCAATCAGGGAGACTAGATGGCCATGGCGTGTTTTAGATAGCATCCTTATTTCTGTCTGGAATTCGTGAAAACCTTGCTTGGATGATGAGTTGAGCCTTTTGATTGCAACAGTGGTTGTACCGTTGTCGATGTAGCCTTTGTACACCTGACCAAACCCTCCCTTGCCTATAACTCGATCATGATAAAAGTCCCCAGTAGCTGCTTTCACTTCTGTAAGTGAAAAACGCCGGCAGCGATCTGATGGCAGTGGTGGCAGTGGTGGCTTTGTATCTTTAGCGGTGCCAAAGCGTTTAACCCGCCTTCGCCACCATAAAACTATAAGAACTAGAATAAGAAACAAGACTAACCCTCCTCCAGCGCCTCCACCTATGGCGGCATATGTCGGAGCGTTCCGGTTCCGTATTATGGGAGACACCGGGATTGGCATAGAGGTTGTAGGGCCAATTTCCGGGTTTGGGCTTGAAAGATTACCAGCAATGCTCAACTTGAAAACTTCCAGACCATTCAAATAACCGTCCCCATGTCGTTCAGATGCTCGGCTGTTAGGATGCATCGCAATCCACAAATCTTGCTTGCTTTGGCGGCCATCTGGATCGTTAACAAACACAACGTAATCCTTGAATACCGCATACCCGCTACCTTGAGTCCAATGGAATAGATCAGCCTCGTCCTCAGCAGTTTGATTATTAATGAAAATCCTAAATACCACTTGACCTCTTTTTGTGTATTGTGGTATAATGTTGCAAAAATGAAGCCTGAGCTTGTAATAAAACCCAGAATCAACAGGAAGTATCCAAGTCAGATTGTAGTTATCAGACATATTGCCCATACTCCTTTGTGTAGCATAAACTAGCTCCGGTGCAGTATAATTTGGTGTCTCCATGGTATACGCGATCGGAGTCTTATTAATAGGCGTTAACCCAAACATTCCACCGTATATGTAATCATCATCTTGATCCCATGATCGATACATACCCGTATCACTATTTACATATATTTGTCTCCCACCGACGTTTAGCCGGTAAATTTTCTCGAGAGCCGTGTCGTCATCAATCACGGATCCTGTAACTTGACCGACGTGCTTCAAGTCCTCAGAGTTAAAGTACAAACTTTCCGGTAATGAAACTATTTCAATGCCATTAATGAAAGCATACGAGTTGGGTGAGGGTGTAAAGGTAACGTTTAGGATTCGGGTATCTTTTACATAGATGATGAATTCTTTGACAAGGTGGGGATTCTGGCGACCACCGAGTCCTCCATTGGAGAGGGTCATTTCGACGTAGGAAGCGGTTAGGAAAGCGCTGAAGTTGGTTAAGAGAGAGTAGCCATTGGATGATACTGAGAAGAAAGATTGGTTTGCATTGAGGTCGGAATAGGTGGCGGGATAGAAATAGAGGCGGAGGAATTTGGGACCTTCTGAGACCGGAAATTCATAGGTGAAGGAAGTAGTGTTAAAGATTCTGGCGGTGGAGTATGGGGTTCGTGGGATTGAAGGATCTTGGAAGGAAGGTTTGGATGAAAAGGAGGTGGTGTTGATGTCTGAGGTTACGAATTCAGAATGTTCATCACCATCCCATGTCCGGTTAGAAGTGGTGGCGGTGGATGAACCGCAGACGAGGAGGAAGTAGTCAGTGGGTTCGTATGGTTGGGCGGCGGTGGTGGCGGCGGCGGAGAAGAGGAGGAACAAATATAAGAGTGGTGGTAATGTGAAGGTGAGCATGGTGGTTGATAGTAGAAAGCTTATTATTATTTGTCATATATATAGATCATAATGGTGGTTTGCATTTGATGTGTACTTGGCTTGAAATGTCTTGGTCAGTTTTTGCCACTTGCCAATAACAACCAATCTAATGTGATCAATACCTTGTGCATTTTGAGTTGTAACATGGATATATGGTGTAGACTATAGGCGTTCAATCACCTTTCAATCTTAATATATATATATATATATATATATATATATATATATATATATATATATATATATATATATATATA